CTGGCTTAGCTTGCAGACAGACGTACAGAATCTATTTATTTGCACCAACACGTGTTGGGAGAAATCTTTTAAATTTGGAAAACTGTTGAATGTAGAAAATTTTTTTTTCATTTGGAAATTTGCATAAAGAAAAATTTTTCTAGTAGTAATAAGAGCACCAGCTATGTACACAACTTTGGTAATTTATTTTTTTGTTTAACTATACAAGTTATTACTTTTTGGAATGACAACTGCTTCTATTAATTGATGATTAATAAAAAATAGTTTTTTTTTGTTTTAATTAAATTGATTTTTCTTTATTTCGATAGCAGAAGAAAGTTTTTGTTTTAACAATGGATTTTCTGCATCTCTGCATGCAGACCATTTTATGACTTTTAGCCTAACCTGCAGGCATTCCGAGTTAGATCACATCACAAAAAAAGTGATTTGGCGATAGTTCTGGTACAGATATATTAAACACAGAAATGAGCCAATAAACCAAATTATTGACTTAACAATAATCAAAAAATGAATCATCTAGTAAATTTTGTTAAATTTCTTACACTAATTTATTAAGATTTATACATGTTCATCAGATCGTATTTGATTGAAGTCCATCGAGTACAAAATTTTCGAACCCGCACCTGGTTGAACCATACTTTGATACTTTTACTGAAATTTACCAATGGGAACTGGATAGTCGCCCCGAAGATACAAAATATTTTTTTCTGATTTTAAGTATTCGGCTACTAGCGCACCCTATAGATTTTTCAGACGACGAGAGTCCATCGGATTCAAAATTTTTGGGTCCAGGACCAACTCGAGGAGGTCTACACTCGACCTTTCTCTCATTCTTTATTCAACATTATTGTGTCGTAGTTTAAAATGTTCAGAATATTCGATTCAATAAAAAACATGATTATCTTTGACATTTTCTCTATATATATTGATTGTAGTTCAATGTCGATCTATCAATTTCTTATTGCTGTTCGACAAAATGGTGAAAATTTAACTAATGAAAATGGTGAAACAACTAGTCATTTAATGGGCATGTTTTATCGAACAATTCGTATGGTTGAAAATGGTATTAAACCAGTTTATGTATTTGATGGAAAACCACCACAAATGAAATCAAAAGAATTAGAAAAACGTCTTGAACGACGTACGGAAGCTGAAGCTGAAATGACCAAAGCAGCTGAAGCTGGTGAGTACATTTATCGAAAATAAATAAATAGAACAACAAAAAACAAAAAATCGAATAAAATTAGTAAGAAAATTAAGAACATTTTCTTTTGTCTATTCTCAATTGGATGGATCGAGTAAGAAAGCTTAGCTAATAATTCCATTTATTTAAGTTTTATTGCTTTTTATTTAAAATACATTTATTTTTATTTTCGTACATTAAAATTTTATTCATTTTAAATTAGGTGATGAAGAAGCATTTGATAAATTTGCACGTCGAACTGTTAAAGTCACTCGTGAACATAATGAAGAATGTAAACGTTTATTAAAATTAATGGGTATACCATATGTCGATGCACCTACCGAAGCTGAAGCTCGTAAGCTTTGTTAGTTTGTTTTTGTATTTGATTATTATATATTATTTTATTCAGAATGTGCAGCACTTGTCAAACAAGGAAAAGTTTATGGAGTTGGTACTGAAGATATGGATGTAAGAAAGATCTTATTCTTTCTATTCCTTTTTTTGTTATTTTAAATATATTCCTAGGCTTTGACATTTGGTGCTGATGTACTTATACGTCATTTAACATTTAGTGAAGCACGGTTTGTTAAATATTATATATATATGAATAAATTTCGATTCTATATTAAATTTATTGTATAGAAAAATGCCTGTTCGTGAATATTCACTACCAAAAGTCCTTCAGGGTTTAGGAATCAATTTTGAAGAAGTATCATTTATTTTATTATTTTATTTTGAAATCTAATTTTATTTTTATTAGTTTATGGATTTATGTATTTTACTTGGATGTGATTATTGTGATTCAATTAAAGGTATTGGACAAAAACGTGCACTTGATCTTATTAAACAATATCGTAATATTGAAACAATACTTAAACATATTGATAAAAAAGTAAATTTTATTTTTGTATTTTCATTTTTTTATTATGTTTGTTGTTTTTTATTCAAACTAGAAATATAGTGTACCTGATGAATGGGCATATGAAAAAGCAAGAGAATTATTTAAAGAACCTGAAGTTTTATCTGGTGATGCAATCGATGTTAGTTTATTCATTTTTTTTTATTAATTTAAATTTTTTATAAATATTTGTATTTTTAAATTTTAGCTTAAATGGACTGAACCCGATGAAGAAGGTCTTGTAACTTATATGGTTAATGAAAAAGGATTTGGGTAAGTAGAAAAGAAAAAAAAAATTGTCTTTGTTTGTTTACTGAATGAAGTAAAACTCCAAGGTAATTTATTGGATCATATGTAATGGTCGAGAAAAATAAATGATTGATGTACAAGCATTACAATATTTATTTAACAGAAGAAAATGAAAAATAT